AGTGATACAAGTTTAGAATAAAAAAGTAGTTAATAAGAACTTCAGGGTTAAGTGTATTGAATAATAAATATATATTAACGTATTATCACCTCAAGAGGCAAAACTGGACACTTTGTGGACAAAGTGTCATGTTGATATTATTTTACTCGGTTAAATGTTTTGCGACATGAAATTCTATCAAAAACTTCTAATCACACAGTTTGAAGTTATTTCCTGTTGTTATGGTCTATTAACGCTATTTGTGCTATTCGGCTATAATAGTCGCCCTCTGTACATTGTTTATTCCATTAAGTTATATTAAGTAGTTCAAACATGCCAATGTGAATGGTGTGTATAATAACACAACATGTTCTAAGGCAAGCTCAGAGAATATAAAATAATGTTCAGAGCGGTTTTCCAGAGCGAAGAAAGTGTAGAAAATACTGCCAGTAATACAATTGTTTCTAGGATATCTTATTGTGGTACTCTGAATGTCAAAATTCAATACTAAGTTTGTTTGTTTGGAATTAAGCACAAAGCTACACAATGGACTATCTGTGCTCTGCCCACCACGGGTATCGAAACCCGATTTCTAGCGTTGTAAGTCCGCAGATATACCGCTGTGCCACTGGGGGACAAATTCAATACTCCACCCCTGCTATAATATGAATCAAAGGTGGTTTCAACCATACTTTACATGTATCTGTTCACATGGTATGCAACTAATGTATGTCAGTAGGGTTTGTAGTCAGCTTTATTGAAAGCAAAGGCAGCACGGTTTGTAGTCAGCTTTTTTTTGTTTCTCCTTGATAAAAATTCTATGAATTTAAATGAACTTTATTAAAGAGAGACTGTGTCTATTATTCAAAGGGGTTCAATTTCTAGGGTCCCCTGGTACCAAGCTAAAGAATTAAGACGCTTTAAAAGTTATGTTTAGATGTAAGACTACAATACAAAAGTATTAAAATATTCCTCAGTCAGCCAAGAGTTTCAATTGTGCTTTTTTCATGTCCCAAATAGTTATTATTGACGTACACTTTTTAAAAATAGAACACCTAACTCTTTGTTTAAAACAACCTGATTCATAATCGAACTTAACCATAATAGAAAAAAAAAAGTTTTATCTGACTTAAAAATATTATTTCATGAATACAAGCATGTATTATGTCCTTAATGCCTTTTATTTAAATTACTCAAAACAACTCATTCTACTAATTAGGCCTTACAATAAATGACTGTACATAAGGTTAACCTCTAGACTATCAGTTCAAAATAATGGACGGTTACACGCAATATGTTGCTTTGCCCAAAAATCCTAAACCAAACAAGATAAGCTTAGGTGGCAAATATCGCCTTGAGATCTGATAACAAAATAATGTTTCATGTAACACTTTCTGCGGAACCAGTACATATGTTTTAATTAAGGTACTGACCATATTCGAAGTTATGCTGCATAAGAAAGAGGCTACTCTGTGAGAATTATTCGAGACTAACATAAAATGTTCGAATTCCGCTATGATATTTAAAAGCCTCTTATACATTACAGATGCTCCAATGTAACGATCAAGTTCCTTCATTATCCCACTTACTTCTATAACTACGCATGGGTGACGGCTCTGTGCCCGAAAAGAAAAACAAACTGTTAGAACAACCGTCCGCTGTAGGTGCACGTGACCTAAGTTTGTAAGTGAGAGTATAAAAGCAGTTTCAAACATAGCGCTCCGGGGATAATGACAGGAGTCAGAAACACAAAATCCTATGCCAGATTCGGATTCAGTGACACTGAAAACCTACTCTTAGATCCCACAATTCTGGATTCATTTCAGTCCGCAAGGACACTCCTGCTAACTCCAAAACTGTGGGAGGGGTTAGCTGAACAGAGGTACATGCACTGAGTGGTCACAAGTAAATAGACACCTAATTGTTCGTCATTTAACTGATTTATGCTAACTAATTTGTGTTCACAGAGCACACTATACACAGCGTAGTCACAAGTAAATAGACACCAGCTTTTCAGAAAAAATAAATTTCAGTCATATTCACATGAATTGATATATTTATAATTTAATTAATATCTAATAGATCTTCCTTTCTCTTCGTGTAGTTCGTTGAT